ACTCTGCACAAACTGATTGAATATCGATCCCTTGCTATTGCTTCAAGTTAAAAAAACAAAACAAAACAAAACAAAACAAAAAACACCTTTTGAAAATATGACGTGCAGGGCTAGGCGCGGTGGCTCACGCCTGTAATCCAACACTTTGGGGGGCCGAGGCAGGCAGATTGCCTGAGCTCAGGAGTTCGAAACCAGCCTGGGCAACAGGGTCAAACCCCATCTCTACTAAAATACAAAAAATTAGCCAGGCGTGGCGGCGTGTGCCTGCAGTGCCAGCTATTCAGGAGGCTAAGGCAGGAGAATTGCTTGAACCTGGGAGGCAGAGGTTGCAGTGAGCCGAGAAAAAAAAAAAAAGAAAACATAATATGATGTGCAGCTATAAAACAACAAAACTGATTCTATAAGACATACATAAACACCAAGCTCATTATTTTATGATCATCTTTCACAAATAACAATTTGAAATGACTGAGTTGCAGTCAGACTTGAACACATACTTGTTTTGAAGAATTGTAACTTCATTTCCTACTATAAAACTAATTGTTGCCATTGAAAATGTTGGAAAAAAATAGGCTGGTCTAGAGAAGATTTGCAAAAAAAGTCTGATTTCATTTCTGTCAAAACTTTACCTGGTTTGTTCCTGTGTCTTCATGTCCATGTTCTGTTTTTCAGTTGTTTTTCAGTGGACTCCATAGCTGTGTCATCCAGGACTTATTGTTGACATAAACCTACTGCATACATAAGACTCTACTCAATGTATTTAATTCTACAAAAGCTTACTGAATATTTTCTTTTCTAATTGTGCCAGCATTATGATCACCTCACAGGAGTCAAGATATTTGGATGCAATATTTTGTTTTCTAGTCATTTTTTTTTTTTTTTTTTTTTTTGAAGATGGTGTTTCACTTTTGTTGCCCAGGCTGGAGTGCAGTGGCATGGCCTCAGCTCACTGCAACCTCCACCTCCTGGGTTCAAGGGATTCTCCTGCCTCAACCTCCCGAGTAGCTGGGACTACAGGTGCCCACCACCACAACTGGCTAATTTTTGTATTTTTAATAGAAATGGGGCTTCACCGTGTTGGCCAGGCTGGCCTCAAACTCCTGACCTCAGGTGATCCGCCTGCCTCTCCCTCCCAAAGTGCTGGGATTACAGACGTGAGCTACAGCACCTGGCCCATTTCTTTATTCAACAAATAATGTGAAGCTTTCACTATAAGTTCGTAAGACACTGCTCTAACTACCACAGGGAAAAGGGGATCAATACATTTCTGATTTCATAGAAATTAAAATTTAGGGAGATAAGATATGCAGACATAACATGTTTAACATTAGCACTGAAGTTTAATAGCAACATGAGCCAATTATATAAAAACTCTTCTATGATTAAATCACACCATCCTGGGCTTTTCTGGGCTTTCCCTGGGTCAGTGGGTTCACCCTCACAGGAAGCAAGGTTGTGCTAGAAAGTAAGTTTCAGAAATAGGCTAGTGTTTGAAAATGGGGCAAGTTCCTAGCCTCAATTGCTTCATCTTATATACTCATAGATTGATGGGGAAATGTGTGTCTCCCTCTTTACCCCTCCCTTTTGTGTAGAAAATGCCCTCAGTGGCCTCAGTGGGTATCAGTGCCACAGGTGAGCATAGTAACCCTGACAGTCCCTTACAAGGTTGGCAGCGTGAAGCAGCACCTACCACTGCTGTGCTCTCAGGGTCTTTTGCTGTGTTTGTTTGACATCTGCAATGGATTTATTTTATTTTATTTTTATTTATTTTATTTTATTTTTGAGATGGAATCTGGCTCTATTGCCCAGGCTGGAGTGCAGTGGTGCAATCTCAGCTCACTGCAACTTCCGCCTCCTAGGTTCAAGCAACTCGCCTGCCTCAGCCTCCCGAGTAGCTGGGATTACAGGTGCCCGCCGCAATAGCTGGCTAATTTTTGTACTTTTAGTAGAGATGGGATTTCACCATATTGGCCAGGCTGGTCTCAAACTCCCGACGTCAAGTGATCCACTTGCCTCGGCCTCCCAAAGTGGTGGGATTACAGGCATGAGCCACCGTGCCCAGTACAGATTTTTTTTTTAAAGGGATGGATTTTGAGAGGAAACAATATGGGGCAGAAGTATGGAATAGAAAATAAATACAAATGCAAGCTGCTTTGCTAGCTGTTTTATAACCACAACAAACTAGGTCAGAGAATGTCCTGTACAAAATACAATAAAGGTTCAAAGATGAAGGCGTTCCCTTAGCAAGGCTGAAAATGTCCACCTCTGGTATTTGGAATTGAGGCTGCAGTCCTTGTTTTTGGATGGATCTCTGGGTATGTGGCAGTCCAGGTTTTGGGGAAGTAAGAGAAGGAGGCGCCAGATTCCTCAGTCTGGAGAGTATGGTGTTGGTGATGACAAGATTTCCACTCTTCTCTGTGGGATTAGGAAGGGAGTGTATTCTCCACCCATCACCAAGCTTAATTGAGGGGGAGGTTTCAAGAAGTCTTGTAGTGGGCCGAGCGTGGTGGCTCACGCCTGTAATCCCAGCACTTTGGGAGGCCAAGGCAGGTGGATCATGAGGTCAGGAGATTGAGACCATCCTGGCTAACACGGTTTCATCCTGAAACCCCGTTTCTACTAAAAATACAAAAAATTAGCCAGATGTGGTGGCGGGCACCTGTAGTCCCAGCTACTCGGAGGCTGAGGCAGGAGAATGCCTTCAACCCAGGAGTTGGAGCTTGCAGTGAGCCGAGATCACACCACTGCACTCCAGCCTGGGTGACAGAGGGAGACTCCGTCTCAAAAAATAAAAATAATAATGATAAAAGAACAATAAGAGAGTACTACACAACCATTAGAATGGCCAAGATCTAAAACACTGACAACACCAAGTGCTGTTGAGGATGTGAAACAATAGTAACTCTCATTCATTGCTGGTGGGAATGCAAATTGGAATAGACATTTTAGAAAACAGTTTGGCAGTTTCTCACAAAACTGAACATACAATTTACCATGTACAGTTGTATGGCTATGTAGTCTTACCGTACAATCCAGCAATCATGCTCCTTGATATTTATCCAAATGAATTGAAAAGTATGTCCACACAAAACACGCACATGGATGCTTATAGCAAGTTTATTCATAATTGTCCAAACTTGGAAGCAACCAAGATGTCCTTCAACAGGAGAATGAATAAACAAACTGTGATACATCCAGAAAATGGAATATTATTCAGTACAAAATGAAATGAGCTATCAAGCACTGAAAAAACACAAGGGAACCTTAAATGCATATTACTAAGTGAAAGAATCCAATCTGAAAAGGCTACATGTGTTATGAGTCCAACTGTGTGACACTCTGGAAAAGGCACAATATGGAGACAGGAAAAGGATCAGTGAGCAGAGAGGGGGATGAATTTTTAGGGCATGGAGAAATGTTAGGGCAATGAAGCTATTTTGTATAATTATACAGTAATGGATACATGTCATACATTTGTAAAAACCCATCCAATGTACAACACTGAGAGCGAACTCTCATGTAAACAAACTGTGGACTTTAGATCATAATGATATGTCAGTGTAGGTTCATTGATTGTAACAAATGTACCAGTGTGGTGCAGGTGTTCCAGGAAGGGGTCTAGATCCAGACCACAAAAGAAAGTTCTTGGAGCTTGCATCCTGCACCAGAAAGAAGTTGGCATAAGTCCACAGAGTGAAGTGAAAGCAAGTTTATTAGAGAAGTAAAGAAACAAAAGAATGACTACTCCGTAGGCAAAACAGGATGTTCCCAAAAGCAAGAGGAAGAAACTGCCCTTAGGTACAATGTTTATATATAACAAAGGAAAAAAGTCATGGGGGAGGTGTGCTCTACTACAAGGGATTGTGAGAAAGGATTCTTAATCTTTGTGTAACTACTGACTTTTGCAAGAATCTGTATTACTATCTTTAAAGTGAAATTTAGTCTAGAATAAAGAATGTTTTTGTCCTAAAAAAAGAAAAAAATCATGGAGGAGGTGTGCTTTACTAGGACTTGTGACAAAGGATTCTTTGTGTAACTACTTACTTTTGCAAGAATCTATATTACTATCTTTAAAGTGAAACTTAGTCTCAAACGAAGAATGTTTTTGTCCTTAAGATATAGGAACATCAGGATGCTTCCTGGGTCTATTAAGTCCTGAGTTTGTTCCGTAAACATTATTAATCTGTTCCCTTAACTGTAAATATTTTGTGACTAAGATTATGCCTAATCTCCTGGGAATGTAGCTCAGTAAATCTCAGCCTCATTTTATACAGCCCCCATTCAAGATGGAGTCGCTCTGGCTGGAAGTCCTCTGACACAGGAGGTCAGTAGTTAGGGAAGGGATGGGGGGTGGGGAACAAGTGGTATACAGGACCTCTCTGGACTTTATGTTCAACTTTGCTGTGAACCTAAAGCTGCTCTAAAAAATAAAGTTTATTAGTTTTTAAAAATCATGTCTGCTACAATTCCTTTAGCCTTAATTCCTGGAAGCAGATTTGTTAGAACAAAGTAATTTGGTTTTAAAAAATTTCTGATAGGCTGAGTGCAGTGGCTCACCCCTGTAATCCCAGCACTTCGGGAGGCTGAGGCGGGTGAATCACTTGAGGTCAGGAGTTCAAGACCACCCTGACCAACATGGTGAAACCCCGCCTCTACTAAGAATACAAAAATTAGCCTGGTGTGGTGGTGTGCGCCTGTAATCCCAGTTACTGGGAAGGCTGTGGCACGAGAATCGCTTGAACCTGGGAGGCAGAGGTTGCAGTGAGCCAAGATTGCACCACTGCACTCCAGCCTGGGCAACAGAGCGAAACTTGGTCTCAAAAAATAAAAAATAAATAAAATAAACAAATATATTCTGATACATGTCGCGAATTGCCCTTCAGTAAAAGACATAGGTCCTAAATTACATATAATGTTTCACTTCAAAACCTTGATTCAGGTCTATGAAAATGAAATCCATGTATCTTAGCCATGATCAAGGCAACTTTTGATTTTCACAGGGAAGGAGGAAAATCGTGGGAGAGAAAGGAAGCCATAGGAGCCCACCCTGCATTGTGAGGTAATTAACAAAAACACCTTTCAGCAGAGCTAGCCTTAAGAGACTGTGAAGCAATGAAATGTGCCTGTGGTGCCCTCAAAGTCCTCTTTCAGTCATTTCTAGTGCCTGGTCCCTCCCATCCAGCCCCTTCCCCCTTTCTTAACTGCATCATTACTCTTGTTCCTATTCCCGACAGGGCAGACACCTCATTAAGGCGTGTGTTAATAATAGATAATGGTGATTAGAATGTTAACTCCAAGGCGGCTGGGTGCGACGACTGTAATCCCAGCACTTTGGGAGGCCGAGGCGTGTGGATCACCTCAGGTTGGGAGTTCAAGACCAGCCTGGCAACATGGTAAAACCCTATCTCTACTAAAAATACAAAAATTAACCAGGCATGGTGGCATGTGCCTGTAATGCCAGATACCTGGGAGGCTGAGGCACGAAAAATCACTTGAACCCAGGAGGCAGAGGTTGCAGTGAGCCAAGATGGCACCATTGAACTCCAGCCTGGGCGAGACTCCGTCTAAAAAAAAAGAAAAAAAAGGTTAACTTCAAGGCATATTTACATTTTTAGACTTTTGGACTTTTGAAGATCTAAAAGTATGTATTTCTAATGTTGGGGATTTGGGAATTCTTACTGTTGGGCATTTGGGGCTAATAGAGATGTCCTGCCACCTTCACAGTTGCACAATGTAGCAGGCCTTGATTGTCTCCAAGGCCAGATATATTGTTAGAACTTCCTAGATAAGATGGTGGGCCTCACGGTTTCTGGGTGAGACATGTGGGTGATGTTTGTGTCTTTCCTTAAATAGCGTACTATAGAGACCCTTTTCTCCAAGTGTGGTCCCTAGTCCATCTGCTCAGAATCACTCTGGGAACTTTTGTTTAAAATACAGATCCCTAGGTCCTTCTACTTACCTGCATTTTAACAGTTTTTTTGGGTAATCCTTAGGGATATTAAATTCACTACTCAGATAAGTTTTATAAATACTAAAGTTTAACAACCAGAGCTATAGAGCAGTGACTCTCAACCCTGGGTGTACATTGAAATCACTGGGGTACTTAAATCTACCTATAACCTGGAACCACCCAATCCCCCAATCCCGACAGTTATCCCACCTTTCTGGGATGAGCCAATGTATTTATTTCTTGAATGTACTTGATTTAAATCTCATGTCTCCCTAAAATGTACAAAACCAAGCTTCACCCTGACCACCTTGGGCACATTGTTCTCAGGATCTCCTGAGGGCTGTGTCACAGGCCATGGTCACTCATATTTGACTCAGAATGAACCTCTTCAAGTGTTTTATAGAGTTTGACTCTTTTTGTTGACACATCTGAATCAAATTTCCAATTCTCTATGAATTCTGACCTCACTTTCCCTCCATCCGAGATGCTTCCAAAGCACTGTCAAATATTGCTTTCTCTTAGCACAGTAAGCAATAAACTCAGCCTTGTCTTGTCAACAGGTTGTATTGATGACATTTTGTAGCCAAAAAGTTTGACATAGGGGGAATTGAGAATCGCTGGTATATTAGAGAGAATGCTAAAGTTGATGTCAGATGGTTTATTATTATTTTAATTATCTGGGTCCTGGCTCTATTGCTTATGAACTAGATGACCTTGGTCAGGTTACTTAGCCTCTCTATTAGTTTCTTTTGTAAAAATAAGAGTGTCTGATACCTCACCTTTGCCTCAGGATCATTATAGGCCTCAAGGAAAATGTTGTTCTCAAAGTGGTCTGCAACCTGGAAAATTCTTTCTAAATGTAATGTAATATATATAAACTGACAATCATAGGTTACTCTTTTTTTTCCATTTAGTCTTTACTTGAAACTCATAACTTACAGTTTTTGAACACCTACTATAGGGTCAGAAAATACATGGCTCTTGGACCCGGCCTCCGTTTCTACTGCCTAAAGCAGACATTGCAACTCAAGTGCAGTGGTCATTCTGTAGCAGGCTTGATGACCTCAGATTCCTCCCTGTAACAGCACTCTAATGTCACCAATAATTGATTCTGGCTGGCACTCTTGCTAAAACTTATTTGTCATCCTGGCCAATTTGGAAGCAAGGAGAATTTTCTGCCTACACTGAAGGTTAGAATTGAAGACTATTGAAATGAATTGACAATAGACAGATTAGCAGGAAACAAAGTTATACAAATGTATTAACATGAACATGGACATAGGAGTCCTGCAAATATGGGACTCAAAGAAGAGCCAGATGACTAAAATGTTTATACTGTGCAGAAAGATATAGAAGCTTGGAGTGCGGCAACAGGTTAGGAGAAGGAGAGGGTTGAAAAGGCATGGCAAGCAAAGGCTGTCTTGTTATGCAAATGAAAATCTCCCAGGTAATCTCCGAAGTGTCCTCACAGAGAACAGATGGTAGCCTGTGGTCAGAGTTTCTCTTTCAGACCTTTAAAAGTGGCAGACTTTTAGTACCTTTTTCCTGTGACTTCATCTTTCCTAGATCCAGATAATGCAGAAAGGGGGGTTCTTGGAGAAAGCCTGTTTGCATTGCTGTTTCTTTCACTAATGTAGATTTCCTCATGGATGCAAATCTCCCTGAAAAAAGACAGATTTTTCAGAGCTATTTCTGTGTCTGCAGCCCCTGTAAAGCCACATTGAAATATATATATATACACATGCACACATATACATGTATTTTTATATATATATATATATATATATATATTTTTTTTTTTTTTTTTTTTTGAGACAAAGTCTTGCTCTGTCTCCCAGGCTGGAGTACAGTGACACAATCTCGTTTCACTGCAACCTCTGTCTCCTGGGTTCATGCCATTCTCCTGCCTCAGCCTCCCAAGTAGCTGGGACTACAGGCATGTGCCATCACACCCAGTTAATTTTTTTGTATTTTTAGTATAGACGGGGTTTCATCATGTTGGTTAGGCTGGTCTTGAACTCCTGACCTCAAATGATCCACCCGCCTTGGCCTCCCAAACAAATATGTTTTTGGGTGGCATATTTTGGTTTCCTTTACCAACTACCTACCAGGTACTATGCTAGGTGCTTTATTAAGCTCTTTTATTTAATCTTTACTACAAACTAATATGACAGATTTTATTATCCTTGTTTTTCAGATAAAGAAACTGGAGCTCAGAGAAGTTAACAAACATGCATTTAGTAAGTAGCAGAGGTTTGTTTTGAACCCAGGTTGTCTTTCCACATAACATGTTTTATTTATACAATGGCCATTTGTTCATTATGTACCATAAGTTCCAAGCTTTTTAATACAAAATAGATTAAGATGGCTATGCTTTTACCTTACCTGCATGGTTGGTGACTTTGATGTTAGGTAGGCAAAATTTTACCTCTACTCTCTTAGGGCTATTTTGATTGGGCGTGAGAATTAAACTGGCATAATCAGGCAGGAGGATCGTGTGAACCCAGAAGTTCAAGGATGTAGTAAGCTATGATCATCCCCCTGCACTTCAGCCTGAACAACAGAGCAAGACCCCGTCTCTAAAAATAAAAAATAAGGCTGGGCACAATGGCTCACGCCTGCTATCCCAGCACTTTGGGAGGCCAAGGCGGGTGGATCACTAGGTCAGGAGATCGAGACCATCCTGGCTAACACAGTGAAACCTCGTCTCTACTAAAAATACAAAAAATTAGCCCGGCATGGTGGCGGGAGCCTGTAGTCCCAGCTACTCGGGAGGCTGAGGCAGGAGAATGACGTGAACCCAAGAGGCGGAGCTTGCAGTGAGCCAAGATTGTGCCAGTGCACTCCAGCCTGGGTGAGAGAGGGAGACTCTGTCTCAAAAATAATAATAATAAAAAAATTAAAAAATAAAAAAATTTTAAACTAACATAAGACAGATTAACAGCACAAACACGTACAAATTTATTTAATATAAGTTTTATGTGACATGGGGACCCTCATAAGAAAATGAAGACCCAAAGAAGTGGCAAAATCTAAATGCTTTTATACTAGGTTGAGCAAAGAAATGCAATTGTGGGGCTGGGCGTGGTGGCTCACCCCTGTAATCCCAGCACTTTGGGAGGCTGAGGGGGGTGGATCACAAGGTTAGGAGTTTGAGACCAGCCTGGCCAACATGGTGAAACCCTGTCTCTACTAAAAATACAAAACTTAGCCAGGCGTGGTGGCATGTGTCTGTAATCTCAGCTACTTGGGAGGTTGAGGCAGGAGAATTGCTTGAACCCAGGAGGCAGAGGTTGCAGTGAGCTGAGATCGTGCCATTGCACTCCAGCTCTGGGCGACAGAGCAAGACTCCATCTCAGAACAAAAAAAAAAAAAAAAAAAAGAAATGCAATTGTGAAAAAGTAACTAAACTATGTGAGGAGGCTAACTGAATATAAGGATTATTTTAACAAGGTCTATTTGTTCAGAATTCTCTTGGTCTCAACTTCCCGTTCTTGATGATGTGGGAAACCAAAATATGCCACCCCAAAATATACTTCTTTGGCATATTTTGAGTTGGTTATTCAGAGAAACTGTAGAAAGAAATAGCTCAGAAAAAACTATCCTTTTGTAAAAGAAAAATTTACATCTACCCAAATTAGTGAAGCAAATGGGGGATGCAGGAAGAGGCTTTCTCTGAGGTCCTCTTATCTGGATCTAGGAAAGATTAACTTGCAGGAAAAGAAGACCTAAGGTTTGAAAGGGAAATCTTTACCACAGGCTACCATCTATTCTCTCTGAAGGCTGCTACCTGAAAGGCTTCATCTGCCCAACAAGCCAGCCTTTGCTCACTGTGAATTTCTTCCCCTCACCCTGCTATAAACTGTCACCACCTCCCCGCAGGAGCTACAGGCTCTATTTCCTTGTGTACAGTGTAAAAACTTCAGTCACCTGACTCTTCTTTGAGTTCTCATATTCTGTGTGACTCCCTTGCTTATGCATGTAATACATTTTTATGCTTTTTTTTGGTTAGTCTTTCTATTGTCAGTTTGTCTTTTTTTTTCTTAATTAAAAAGAGACATGGGGTCTCACTTTGTTGCCCAGGCTGGTCCCGGATTCCTGGGCTCAAGTGATCCTCCTGCCTTGGCCTTCCAAAGTGCTGGGATTACAGGCACGAACCACTGCACACAGCTATCAGTTTGTCTTATAGACTCAAATTATCGAACTTTCAGAGGGGTGGGGAAAAATTCCCTTCATTCTTACAGTGATGAGAATGTTGCTTTCTTTGGTATATGGAGGACATTTTTCACATGGAGATTTTGTCTCCTGCTTTTGAGAAGACAAAGGGAAGAGTCAGTGCAGTCTTCTTGCACCTGCTCTTGCGTGCCTGTAATCCCAACTACTAGGCAGAGGCACGAAAATTACTTGAACCCAGGAGGCAGTGGTTGCAGCCAGCCGAGATCATACCACTGCACTCCAGCCTGGGCGACAGAGTAAGACTCTCTCAAAAAAAAAAAAAAAAAAAAAGAGCCGGTCGCAGTGGCTCACTGAGGCCTGTAATCCCAGCACTTTGGGAAGCCAAGGTGGGTGGATCATGAGGTCAGGAGTTCAAGATCAGCCTGGCCAAGATGGTGAAACCCCGTCTCTACTAAAAACACAAAAAATTAGCCGGGCATGGTGGTGGGCGCCTGTGGTCCCAGCTACTCAGGAGACTGAGGCAGAGAATTGTTTGAACCCAGGAGGCGGAGGTTGCAGTGAGCTGAGATGGTGCCATTGCACTCCAACCTGGGAGACAGAATGAAACTCCATCTCAAAAACAAAAACAAAAAGTGCCTTTAGTTCAAAATAATTTATATGCCAAAGTGGCATCTTTTGGGGTGACATATTCCACCATTCACTGTTTATCTGGGGAAATCCTGGAGGGGCTATGTTTCCTGAATTCACAGATTACACTCCTGAATAAACACAGAGTAAATTTTCTGAGTAAACAAAAAAGCAGGTGGAGATACCAGCCACAGGCTCTTACCCCTGTTACCAGTGAGGTCTGCCTGATTTCCAGGGCTGCAAATACACAAGCTGATGTCCTTGTATGAGAGACTTCTTCCTTCTGCTTGTCTCACTCAACCTAAAGGGCACAGCTATAATAGAGAAAATGAGTGTCTGCCCTGAACAGTCAAGATAACCTTGAAGGGAATAAATGAACATGCATATTGATGGAGCAATTTGAGTACATATTGATTCCTGGTAGCTGGTGTCTGTATTCTTAGCTCATATAATAGGTAGTAGGAGTTCTTATAAATAAGCCTACAGAATACTTTTTTTAAAAACTCAACCAACCCTTGGGAGATCTTGTTATTTTTATTTACAAATAATTGATGGAGAATGCAGTGTGGCCTATGGCTTGGTGGTTATTGATTTTCAGGCATGATTAACAGAGCTCAAAACCTATAGGTGGCTACAGAAACAATCCTGAACAAACATGATTCCCTACTGGGAAATTAATAATGCAAAGGGAAATTCTCCCAATGAGTGTGCCTGTTGGAAAGGAACCATGTTGATTTTTCTTCTGGAAGGAGGGGAATACAGTTCTGGAAATTTCTGCTTCATTCTAAACTGGATCAAATGCAAAAACCAGGGACAAGAGTGAATATGATGGTTTGTGGGATTGTGCTTATGTTTCTCTTCAATCAGCAGCAATTGTTAAGTCACTTGCATTTATTTAATATCCATTGCTCACCAAATAGCCTTTCAAGATCTTCTTTTTTTCTATCACTGTCATGTCATGAGAGGGACAGCAAAGTCGTATTCTTGGCTGTGCATGCGAACAGAAGGAGGCTGAGTCCATTGGTATATTCCAGTGGAACAGATACCTAGTGATACTGCAGAGGCACGAAAATTACTTGAACCCAGGAGGCAGAGGTTGCAGCCAGCCGAGATCATACCACTGCACTCCAGCCTGGGCGACAGAGTAAGACTCTCTCAAAAAAAAAAAAAAAAAAAAAAAAAAAAGAGCCGGTCGCAGTGGCTCACTGAGGCCTGTAAATGTACATCCATTGTACATTTGCTGAGTGCCAGCCCTGTGTTTGCATCTGCACATACATAGATAAACAAAACACAAGTCCCTGGCTTAGGAGTTCACCATCTTATAGGGGAGAAGGAAAGACAGCCACGTGAGCAAATGTAGGCATTCTTATCATACAAATCTAGTCTTTTTAAAAAATCCCCGCAGGGCCTGGCTCACGCCTGTAATCCCACCACTTGGGGAGGCTGAGGCAGGTGGATCGCGAGTCAAGAGATCGAGACCAGCCTGGCCAACATGGTGAAACCTCTTCTCTACTAAAAATACAAAAATTAGCTGGGTGTGGTGCCACGTGCCTACACACACACACACATACACACACACACAAAACCTCCCAAAATGTTGGATTGCATATTTTCAGATAGAATAACCTATACTCTATTGTTTGTTTATTTATTTATTTATTTTTGAAACAGATTCTCACTCTGTCGCCCAGGCTAGAGTGCAGTGGTGCGATCTTGGCTCACTGCAACCTCCACCTCCTGGGTTCAAAAGATTCTCCTGCCCCAGCCTCCAGACTAGCTGAGACTACAAGGGCCCATCACCACACCTGGCTAAGTTTTATAGTTTTAGTAGAGACAGGGTTTCACCATGTTGGCCAGGCTGATTTCCATCTCCTGACCTCAGGTGATCACCCTATCTTGGCCTCCCAAAGTTCTAGGATTACAGGCACGAGCCACTGTGCTGGCCCACTCTATTGTTTTAAATTGGAAAAATAATGTGTCCCCATCCCACCCAAAAATTCCAAGCAATTTCTCCAAGAATTTCTCAAAACACTTGTAAGCACCTATACAGCTAGCCACCAAAGACTATTGTTTAACATATATAAACATTTTAAACACGAATTATCTGATTTTTTAAGCACTTAATGAAAGCCGTATGGTTTTGCACAGCATATGAAGATACTGAAGAGTATTGTGTATGAATTATGTTTTACTTCTGTTGCAAGGAACACTGCCTCAATGCGTCCCATGCTGATTTTGGTTATCAATTGACTATGCACAGTATTTCTCTAGTATGTCATGTCCAGTGAAGCTTTCCAGAACCAACAACACTTTTGCAATTTTTCTGCATTTTCTCATGCATAGAAAAAGTAGATGGAGATGAATACATGGCCAAGCTGGGTCTTTTGTATGTTTACCTTTCTCAGTACACTCTGTCACTTCTAAAGTACAGACTTTCCCAGATATCTTATATTCATCTGCCTTACATTAATCTTTCTCGGATACATTTTTTTTTTTTTTTTTTTTGAGATAGGGTCTCACTCTGTCACCCAGGCTGCTGGAGTGCAGTGGCACAATCTCGGCTCACTGTGACCTATGCCTCCCGGGTTCAAGCGATTCTCCTGCCTCAGCCTCCAGAGTAGCTGAGACTCCACATGTACACCACCATGCCCGGCTAATTTTTGTATTTTTAGTAGAGATGGGGTTTCACCATGTTGGTCAGGCTGGTCTCAAATTCCTTACCTCAAGTGATCAGCCTGCCTTGGCCTCCCAAAA